ATTTTTCCCACAAAACATTGTACACAATGTTTATCTCATTCCCAACCAACACAGAGTTGCACACACACACAAACTACAACAGAAGAATTTACTGTATACAGTTAGAGTAAAACAATAAAACTATGCTGCATCCTCTCTTCTGTTGCGGTCTGGCCACAGCGCCTCATCCACATCACAAGCAATGTTGTCCCTGGCCAAGCAGCGGGGGAAATATCTCCTAGCATGGCGATTCCAGCCATGAAAAGAATCAGCTGCTATATCTCCACATGCGTCCTCCATAGCTTGGAGAAGAGGTATACGGGTTTGTGGCTGTCGGTCATACACCTTCAGTCTCCATGCAGAAGAAAATTCCTCAATGGGATTGTGGAATGGAGACTATGGAGGGAGATAAACTAAAATGTGTGGGTAGCCAGTGAACCAGTTACGAACCACAGCAGCCCGGTGGAAGCTTACGTTGTCCCAAATGATAACGTACCTGGGCTGTTCTGGGCCATCTACCTGATCTGGTGGAATGAGTGTGTTGTGTAGGGTGTCCAGGAATGTGGTCAGATGGGCGGAGTTGTAGGGGCCAAGGGTAGCATGGTGATGGATGATGCCACGGTAACCAAGCGCTGCACACATTGTGATGTTCACTCCACGCTGGCCAGGGACTTCAACAATGGCACGCTGGCCAATGATATTCCTTCCCCTCTTTCATCTTTTTGTGAGATTGAATCCAACCTCATCAATGAAGATGAACTGGTGCTCCACTGCAGCTGCCTCTAGCTCAAGGCCTCTCTGAAACACACATGACAATATCAGAAATAAACGTGGAGTGGTCACTAGTGTGAAGCACAATCATTATGATTGCACTATTGAAATATGTATAATTTACTGTACACAGTGTTGAGTGTATGCATCAGTTGTGGGACTCACTTGCACATAGTTATATCACAATTCTTTGACTCTTTCTGAGTTTCGTTCAAATGGCACCCTGTAGACCTGCTTCATCCTGAGATGATTTCTGCGCAAGACACGGTCCAGTGTTGATAGGCTGACCCCATCAATATTTTGAAACATGTCGTTGTTTTCGATACATTTTCTTTGTATTTGCCGTAATGTTATGGCATTGTTTTCTAGGACCATGTTGAGGATTTCAGTTTTCTGTTCAGGTGACAGAAGACGACCTCCTCGTGTTGGTAATCTTTCAGTTCTGCCAAACAAATAGTAAAACAAAACCATCCACAGGCAATACTACTGCTATACTCATTGAATACAGATTGTATTGATATGCAGTAGGGCTGAAACGATTCCTCGAATACCTCGAATAATTCGAGTACCAAAAATCCTCGAGTTAAATTCTCTGCCTCGAGGATTCGTTTAATTCATATTTAATTAATTCAGGGCTTTGCAATCGCCCGGGGTCATGTTTCACCCGGACCGAAATAAGTGATGCACATGCCCACTGGACTGAATGCACACGCGAGTAGCGAATGTAACTTAACTTTCTCTTAAGCCATGGCGGACAACGTGGACCCCGGTGGAGTTCTAAAAAGACAGAAAATGTCAAAGGTGTGGGACCGTTTTTCACGTCGTAAGGCGGAAAACGTAGTCCAGTATAAATACTGTAAAATGGATTTAGCCTACCACAACACCACATTCCTCCATGCTGCAGCACCTGTAAATGTCACTTCTGCAAGCGGACTCAGCCTCTACAAGATAATGCTTTTTAGCCTGTATTTCTATATATTCTGCCCACTCCGTTTTAGCTGACACCGTACATCTGGTAGCAACACGTCGAACTTAAATGTGCTAAAAAATAGCAGTTTTACACAACACGTCGGACTTTTTATTGTGTTATTGATGTCCGTTGTCCCTCAGGATTGCTGCAGGAGGACACGGGTCTTTATGAGTGGCGGAGGAAAACGACAGAAAGTAAATAAATGTTTTGAGATCAGTCTAATTTGACATAACCACGGCAAACATGCTTTCTCGACAATCCTTGTTATTGTGTGAGAAAAAAGTGTAGAAATTAAAACGGACGTGTGTTAATAGGGAAACAGCCGGCGAGCTGTTTGCGCATGCGCCGTGAGCGGTTCTGGTTCTGTTTGGGCCGCAGCCGCTCGCAGCGCTACTTCAACAGTTATCCTCCTAGTTGTTGTCTGGCTTGCAGGCTAGCAGATTCTCGCACGAGGGGAAAATCGGCTCAGGTTGTTTACTTATTTTTTGCACAGGCATTTGTTTACTGTGAAGTACAGTTGAAGTGCTGAAGTTTTGCAAACTAATTTTGAATAAAACTTGAAGAATAACTGGCAATTGCTTGCTCATTTTAAGAGGTCTTTCATAATTATAACATGCTATTTGATATAATGGTTTACAAACACAAAAGGGTAATTTATTAGAGTACTCGATTAATCGAAAAAAAGATTCGATAGAGTACTCGATTACAAAAATATTCGATAGCTGCAGCCCTAATATGCAGTACTGCCATTTTCTAGTGAGAGAACATTTCTTACCTATTCTCATTTCGGAAAGCCTGGATGATGGATGCTACAGTGTACCTGCTCAAATTTGGCTGTACTCTTTGCCCAGCCTCCCTTATTGTAAGACCATGGTTGACCACATGATCAACCAAAGTGGCTCGGATCTCATCAGAGATTACGGTCCTTGGTCTTCTTCGTCCTCCCCGTCCTCCTCTCACTCTCACTCCTCTGGCTCTGCCTCTGTTTCCAATGTTGGCATCCATTGCTCCAAAACAGAGGAGCTCACCTGTTGCCCTTTTATGCTAAAGCTCTGATTGCTAATTGTAAAACAGTGTGACAGGTGTTTGCCCTTGCGATGAGTCAGTGTGTATATTTGAATAGCAGTGTGTTCCTTGTGAAAACAAGATATTATCTGCATGAAAATTGTGCCAACAGCAGAGAATTTTGTGTAGTGTTTTGAAAAAAGTGTGTTTTAGATTTGCAATTTGAGTGCAAAGCAGGAATTGTGCTTGTAGTTTAGCAGAATTGGTTAAGGGGGGTGGTGATTTGGTTACATGTTGTGGTCATTGTGTCTCAAGTACCAGAAAATGTGTGTAAACAATTGAGAAAAACTGTTTTACAAAAGCAGTTCAATGTAGTTAAAATAGTCATTCAAATGATTGTAACACGCTGCAGTGTGTGTGTGTGTGTGTGTGTGTGTGTGTGTGTGTGTGTGTGTGTGTGTGTGTGTATGTGTGTGTGTGTGTGTGTGTGTGTGTGTGTGTGTGTGTGTGTGTGTGTGTGTGTGTGTGTGTGTGCGCTTATGGTTTGTGAGACCTATTTGTCAGTTTACACACCAGCATTATGAAACCAATAGGTTTATGAGACCATTTTTGATGGTCTCGTAAACCGTGACTTTTAAAGTGTTGTAATCTTTGAAAAATATAAAAAGTAAACATTGTTAATATATTATTACAAACTTTGTAACAGCCATTATCATTTTATTTAGTTATTTCTGCAACTTAACCTTCCTTTTGTGTTTTATAGCCAATTAAAAAATTGGTTTCGTAAACCATATCGGTTGTGTTGTATATAATATCAGAGCCCCCTGCAGGTAGAAAACTGCATAGCAGGGCTGATACAACCGATACAACTTAGCACCTCAGCAGCAGGACTTCTCCTGGCCTAATACTGACTTCTCGCTAAAAAATATAAATTGCCATAATGTCATCATCGTAGGACACAGAGTCTCGAAAATTTTTGTGGTTGTTTGTCATCCACTCCTAAACAACAATCAATAATCAGATGATGACATCATCAAGGCTCCACCCCCTCACAACAGAAAAGGTCATGTTTACTCTGAAAGCTCCCAATTATACCCTTTTGATCTAACCAATATGAATCACTGCCAAATAACAGTTGACATGTTGGGCTCACTTAGCATCCAGTACTGGCAGGTGTTGAAAGAGGGCGGGGCTGTGGCAGTATGGCGAATTCAGGCGTAACGCCGTAGCAATATGTTTGCCTCATTTCCTCATTCCTCAACTTATCTGCAGGAAATTTTGCATGAATGTGACTAATCTGACCTCAAACAGATATGGATGCAAACATCCTGTGGGTGTGGTCTATTTTTTCAAATAGCTCCCCCTAGGACCATTGAAATGGTAAGCCCCATGTCATGCTTTTACTGAGGATTATGAAAACTGGTACACTTATGTAGTGTCTCAGAGCCTACAAAAAGGTCTATGGAGCCACTTTCCAAATCTGACAGGAAGTCTGCCATTTTAGTCACATGACTATTTCTTCTTTTCTTTTTTGCACATGCTTAATTAAAGCTAACTTATCGTAGAGTTTTTGACCTATAGACTTCAAAATGACATATTTCACTCATAAGCCACTGAGGATCAAAAGTTGTGAAAAACATACTCAAAAGTATAACTGTGTAGGCATAGCTAAGCCTAAGATATTGACCCCTTGCCACATCAGTGGGTGTGACCTATTTCTTTAAAATAGCAGGCCCCTAGGGCAATTAAAACTATCAGCCTCATACCATGCTTTTACTGAGGATTATGAAATTTGTTACACATATGTAGTGTCTGGTAGGTTTCAAAAGAGGGTGGGGCTTAAGGAGTATGGCGAATTTAGGCATCACACCATGGAATTACGTTTGCCTCTAATTTCTTCAATTCACATCTCATCTGTGCGAAATGTAATGTGATTTACTCTAATCCAACCCCAAACAGATAATTATACAAATTTTCCATAGGCATGGCTTAGTTTTAACATAGTGCTCCCTAGGACCATCACAACAGTCAGCTCTATGTCATGCTTTGACTGAGGATTATGATATTTGGTACATTCATGATGTGTCTTGAGACTTACAAAAAGTCTCCTGAAACCATGTTTCAAGACCAGCAGGAAGTTGGTCATTTTGGTCAGATGATGCCATTTTATGAGGCCAGAACAGTCTCAATAAGAATTAAGTCACACAACGTTTTCCACAAATGCACATGTTCATTCGGAAATCCACACTGTGTTTCATAAAATATAATTCGGAGGAACACTAATGCACACGCTCATTTGGAAATTCATACTCTTTGACACATAAATATAATGTGAAACAATAAGTCACGCAACATTTTCCACAAATGCACACGCTAATTCTGAAGTTCACACTCTGTGGTTCACAAATATAATTTGTAAGAACACTTGTAATATAAACTCACAGATCATACGAATAGCTGAATGTGCATTTACGAACAGCTTCTCATTTGTGAACCTTTCTGCGTTTGTGAGTGAAATCTGTGTGGTGCATTCACGAACAGCTTCTCATTTGTGAACCTTCCTGCATTCGTGAGAGAAATCGGTGTGCTGAATTTTGAGACTCTCCTAACGTCGCAGATCAACAAACGTCACCATTGGCTAACGAATCTGTCAATCAAATATATGATTCTGCCAGGGCTGTTCGATTTCAGCCAGTCATATGGCTCCTTATATTACGGAACAGATCTGCTGTGCGCATGCGTATTGCAGTTCACATGGCAGAGCGGGATGGACCGGTCACAATCTGTGAGTAACAGTTTTATCTTATTCCCTCGTTGTAATTTATGCAATGTTATAGAATTATGAGTAGAAGCGTTCTTCATGGTCAAGTAAAATGTTTTATGTTAAATTCAGTCCAGACGTTACGTGAAGTCTGGTACATTCTTCATCTAGTTTAACATCAAGCTAAACTCAGGCGAACATTTGTTAGTTAGCGTGTCTAGGTACCATTTTTTTAGGCCACGGTTGTCAAACTCAAGCCCTTGGTCTATTTTTTTTTGCCCCGCGAAATCAAATATCAAATATATAATATTAAAACTGGCCCGCCGGGTGATTTTGCAGATAAGACTACTAATCCCACAGTGCTTTGCAGCGTTTGCGCGCGAGACGAAGCAAGCCCTCTTTTATGTTTACGATCATTAGCATCCATGCTAGTAGAATCAGCGTGTGCAGCGTTACCCTCAGTCTTAAACAACTGAAGATACTCCTCTAAGCGCCCAGTTTACTCAGCGAGTTTCCGACTTTGAACGCCTAGAAAGAAGGTATCTGGTTGGAAAAGGTGACCATCAGATTGGAGCGAACTGAGCTTGAAATATTTAATTGTCATGCACTTTTTCTGCTCCAAAGCATGAAAGTTAATAACTGAGATATTTTCATAGAAGATAATTGCTATTTTTGGTTTTTGTTGTTGGCCTGTGAAAAAAAGATTAAACTTACTCTAAAATGGGAACTGGACAGACTACAAATTGAAGAATAGAATAGAAAATCCCTTTATTGTCCCTCAGTGGGGAAACTGTGGTGTCACAGCAGCAATAACGTTCATTACAGGAGCCAAACAGGAGAGTAAAACATAATAATAAAGAGTAAACTAAAAGAAAACATAAAACAGACAAACTTAAAATATCCAAAAGGTAAAACAATCTAAATACTGAATATGTACACATTGTAAGGAGTAAAAAGAGTAAATAAAAATTGAGACATAAGTAACGAGTGATGTGTTTTATTTAAAACACGTGTGTAATTTGGTCATATCAGATTCTGTGTTCAGATGCAAAAATAAGTTTCTTTCCAATTGAATAACAAGACATCTGTAAATAAACTTTTCAATAAATATTGAGTTTGGGCCGCAATTTTGTCCCAGTTTTTAATTTGGTCCTATTGTGAATTTGAGTTTGACACCCCTGCTTTAGGCTGTGCGTGCAGTAATAAGGAGACAGACACTGGCTGAGCCAGTGCATAAATGTTTGATTTTCTGGCGGTGGGCAATAGTTAAAGAAATATTTTTTTTTTAAATAAAATACATCTTTAAATTTTGGCCAATGAGCTCTGGCACATAATAAACAGAAATACTGCTTCATCATTTCATGTACCTTTGAATCTACAGTTGGTCTTATTTAAAAATGTTTTTTTATTAAAACTAGCATAGCTGGAGTGTTAAAAAAATAAAAGTGCCATAAGATATTTGGAAGTTGTTATTTTATTTCTATTACCCAACAGTTATCCAATTCATGTTTGTTCAGTTTTTTTTTTTTTTTTTTTTTTTTCCCTCTAGGAATCATTGAGGCTTGACATCCTTCAAAGGTTGTACGATCGACTGTCAAGCATCTTGGAGAGGCAACCTGTTGATGGGGAAGGGCTACAGTTTGCTTGTCACCATTATTTAGTTTTATTAGGTGCTCTAGGTGACATTGTTGATGTAGGAGAGGATATACTTTCTGCTCTTTCAGATCTGAATACTATTATCCAGCAGGAAAGAGATAATCAAAAGGCATTAATAACGGTACACGTTGAAAGAGGTTCTCGTGGCCGCCCACGACTGGCGGTGTCGCGAGAGGCTCTCGAACACCTTGTGGAAATGGGTCTGCCAACAAGTGTCATTACCAAACTCCTTGGTGTATCCAGAGTAACTCTATTTAGACGGATGTCTGAAAATATTATACCTGTATCTGCCACATACAGTAAATGCAGTTATGAGGAACTAGATTCATTTATCACAGTAATTAAGAGCAACATGCCAGATGCTGGGTACAGGGTAGTCCGAGGTGCTCTACTTCCCCAGGGACATAGAGTACAGTGGGACCGACTGTATGCATCGTGTGGACAGTGCGGGTGTACTTGCTCGAATGACATGTCTGGGATGTGTAGTGAGAAGGACGTACACAGTTCCTTGCCCAAAGTATATGGTGCACATTGACATCAGGTAATGTCTGTGTGTAATTGGAGATGTTATTTTTTGTTTTGGGAGTTGCATTTTTAATTGTCTGTGTTTTAACAGGTACAATTTTATTATCTTTGGGGGAATAGACGGCTATTCAAGGAAGGTAGGTGTTTTCATTGTCAAGGACCAAACAGCTGCAAATGTGTTTTCTGGCTATCTTCTGTTTTATAGATATGTTTTATACCTTTAACAACTTATATTTTGAAGTAAAGGGCTGCATAGGAATGGGTCCCAGCAGGAGCGAGCAGTTTGAACAGTTGGCTAAAAACCAAAGGGATTTTCAGAAATCCCAAAATATACACATTATTATTTTTTGCATATTTGTAAAGTCAGTTAATGTAAGGGCTTGTAATAATCATTAGCCTTTACTCCATATTGATTTTTAAATGGAAGAATATGATACACAATCCCATGAATCCAATAATAGTCTGTCATGCCATGTTTTCTCCTGCACGATGAGTGAATACACAAAATCAGTGCATCTTAATTATATTGTGGGTAATAGTTCTGAGTGTCACTGGAGAATGTGGAAGTAAACCACATTGCGGGTGGTCAGAAATTCAAAAGAAGATGGCGGGAGAGGGATGAAAACAGTATAGTGCAGTGGTCTTCTGTAAACTGCATCCATCACTCCTGTGAGATTTGACACAAACAATACAGTTTATCAGATCTTAACTTATTTAATTATCTAACATGTTATTGTATGGCTGTTGTACCTTTAATTTGGTAATTGATTGTTTTGGCCCCTATAAAAGTGTGTCATATGAGAGTGTTTGTGCTTGAATTACATAGATCATGTACCTGAAGGTAGCTGACAACAACCGGGCAGACACCCACCTTGCCTCTTCAGTGAAGCTGTGAATGAGCATGGCTTTCCTCTGAGGTATTCATGTTATTCCCAACTTTACCCTCTGTTACCCTGTTACAAATCTGCTTTTGCCTAAAGTGTGTTATTGACCAAAGATAACATGCCATTTGAGGTCATAAAGTGAAATTTATGGGGGGGGGGGGGGGGGGGGGGTGAACATTTCCCTCTTTCAAAAAAAAAAATCCCCAGCAGAGGGTTAATAATGCCACAATGTTTACTCACTTAGTAGCAAGGTACATGAGGAAATGTCTGTAAAACTTAAATTGATGTAGATTGTTATAGATGTGCATTAAAAATGTTTGAAGCAAGATTCTAATGTTTGTTTGTTTCAGGGTGAGAGGAGATCATGGCAGAGAAAATGCAGGTGATGCAGAATTAATGTTCTCAGTTCGTGGAACTGACACCAACAGCTTCATTGCAGGAAAAAGTGTACACAATCAGCGGTGAGTTTAACCTAATTTGGAAGCTTTGTGTGTGTGTGCGCGCGTGCCTGTGCCTGTTGACCTGCCCAGGGTGTACCCTTCGTCTCACACTTTGACTGCTGGAGATAGGCACCAGTCCCCCTGTGACCATTCAAAAGATAACTCAAGTTGAAAATGGATGAATGGACATGTAAATGTGTGTGTATATTTTAATTTTCTTTTATTTAATCCCCCTCCAAATCCAGAATTGAGCGCCTCTGACGTGATGTCTTCATGAGTGTTACTGGTTTATATTAGAACATCCTGCACTCTCTGGAAGACCAAGACTTGCTCGACATCAGTAACATCCTTCACCTGTTTTGTTGCCACTATATTTTCTTGTCTCGCATCCAGGCCAGCCTGGATGTCTTTAGAGATGCATGGGACAACCATCCAATCAGGACAGAGGAAAACATGACACCAAATCAGCTGTGGCATCTGGGCCAGGCTCTGAATCCTGTTTCTGATCCAGGGGCAAATGTATGTTCTGTTGAAATGACTGATCACATGTCAAGTTGATCCTTAACTAAAAATCAAATGTTCAACACTTTGATAATCTACCTCTGCACTATGCTTCTTGGATTCAAGATGAAATGGCTATTGAAATTACAGTTCTGTTTGTGTGCACCTCTACTGAAATGGACACTGTCAACTATAATGTCATGACATTACAAAGTCATGACACATCTGCAAGTTCAAAATGCAAGGCATTAGACCTTCCAGATGTGATATTCTCACTGCTGTTTTAACATAAAATTTGCCCATTAATTAAAAAATAATAATAATTTATGAAATAATGAAGATGCTAGGTTCTGCCTGACATCATTGATGTTAAGTAATTGTTAAAAGGTCATGATAAAGCTTTATTAAATGTGTTTTCTTGAGATTCATTATGCACAATGCTCATACACACTTTCTTTTTCCAGAGTATACCGATACCAGAGATTGAATGGGAGGAAAATGGATACATGACTGAACCTCATCCTGGGATCAATGTCCCTGTACTGGACAGTCCTCTTTCAGATCATGAAATGTTGGAACTGCAGGACAGCATTAATCCGTTGCAACATTTAGACTCTTTTGGGTGGACATATATCTTCACACTGTCCAGTATGTTGAGAACTTACTTGAGGCTAGATGATTACATGTGTGAAGAAGGAAGGAGAGAGAAGGTAGGGAGTTAGGAAGAAAGAAAACAATTAATGAGACAGGAAGGAAGAAAGTTAAAAAGTGAAGGAGTGGTCCATTTTAAGGTTAATATACTGTATATTGTTATTCAAGGGATTTGCCGTCGTAAATATGAAATGCTAAAGGATAGACCCCCAAATAGATTTCTAAATTCATTTATAGTTGTGTATTTCCTTAAAGGCTGTGTCAGCCTGATTTATTTTAGACCAGGAATGTATTTGAAAAGGCTGCTGTCCACTTAATCTATGCTACAATTCTTCAAAATGTAGATGTTCTATCATTGCTAGTGTTGGTTTAGTAACATACATCTTCCTGTGTATCCAGCTCTAATAAAAACATATTTAAAGGTGAAGCACCTACTTCTTATCAGGAGATCCATTTCTTTTTACATGTTATTGTTTGAATTTTGTCTCGTTTCATAACTTTTGCTCAACATTTAAGGGGAACTGTGTTACCCTGCGATCATCTTCATTACACTTGAAAACTCGTACTATACCTCCGTCCGTCTACTTATTAAATAGAATAACATGACAAGATTCTATCTACAGTTTTTTTTGATCAAGGGATGATTAGGTGTTGTGAGAAGATTCTCTATGCTACTGAGTCTGTGTTAAATTGCAACTGGACACACATACTCACACACAGTTTGTTCATTTGTTCTCAGAATGAGAATAATGTCTTTTAGAGTTAAAAAGTTATTTTTTTTTCTTGATGTCACTGAAGGCTGTGTTAGAAATATATGCAGCTCATTAAAAGGAAAAGTAACTGATGTAACCAAGAGCCTGAACACAGGAGAATAGAGACACCTGCCAAGATAAAGAGCTGAGCTTTTGCTCCTTTTCAGAGTCACTCCCATGGAATAGGTCTGATGATTTACTAGCTTCTCTTACCTTCTCTGCAGACAATGTTTAATATGAGCTTCAAGAGGTCTCTGCCCCTAACGGGGTTTGCTTTCACATAGTAAAAATGCATAATTTTTCTGAATAAGATTATTAAGAGGCCACCCATAGGGTGGAACGTTGGTTATGTATTGTAACCCCAGATTCTATGAGTATAGTGTAGCCCTCTGAGCAATCGCCTATTGGATTAATTCCATCCCCTTAACTGCGCAGATTGGATCAGCGGTGATCGGCGAGCAGTGCTTGCCGGTTAGATTTGTGTCCGACTTGACGCCGACTTGCTCTATCTCTATCGTAGGCAACGATAACCTTGTGAGATCAAGGTGGCCGCAGATTTTGGAGCAAGGCGCTGCAGTTGCTCTCCCTCGACTGCAAAACCCAGGGCATGACGGGAAACGCCTGGCTCTCACCTGATCTAAGATCTGATTGGTTCATATTTTGATCCAAACATCCGGTGGTAGAACATGAAATGTTAGTTGGTCACATGTATTCTGTAAATCATGTAACGTTGATGATGACAACTATATAGGCCATAAAGAGAAATGTGATTTGTGTTCTTTTGTCACGTCTCCTATGAGCACACTAAACCTACAGCTGATAACCTTTACTTATTATTACAGTCATGTCTCCATATACAATATATGATATCCACAAGCACGTGAGGATGTGTTTCAGCTGCTAACAGGCACCAGAATTAAAATGGAAAATTAAACAAGTGTGAACGCTAACGTGATATCTTCAGCCATCGTCACCCCCGAGCTACACATGTGATGTAGGGAATTGTGTCCGACTATGCGCACAGCAGATCTGTTCCGTAATATAAGGAGCCATATGATTGGCTGAAAGCGAACAGCCCTGGCAAAATCATATATTTGATTGACAGATTCATTAGCCAATGGTGACGTTTGTTGATCTGCGACGTTAGGAGAGTCTCAAAATTCAGCACACCGATTTCTCTCACGAATGCAGGAAGGTTCACAAATGAGAAGCTGTTCGTGAATGCACCACACAAATTTCACTCACAAACGCAGAAAGGTTCACAAATGAGAAGCTGTTCGTAAATGCGCATTCAGCAATTCGTATGATCTGTGAGTTTATATTACAAGTGTTCTTACAAATTATATTTGTGAACCACAGAGTGTGAACTTCAGAATTAGCGTGTGCATTTGTGGAAAACGTTGTGTGACTTAATTCTTATTGAGACTGTTCTGGCCTCATACCATTTTGTCATTTTATCACATATTATATTTTAACTAACTTGTCCTAGGGCTTTAGGCCTATGACCTAAAATTGATAAGCCATTGGGAATCAAAAGTTGTCTAAATAGTTTTCAAAAGGACTAATGGTGTAGTTCGGGCTTAGTCTCAAATATTGATCTTTTTAAATTAAAGTTCTTGGTTTATTAACTTGCAGACACATGATCAGAGCTATATCCAACTTAGTGTCATGTCAAATCTCAAGACAATGACAGTGTCATTTCCTGCCATCACCAAAGGCACTACCCCTGACAACAGGAAGTTTATTGTTTTACTCTAAAAGGTCCAACTTTGACCCTTTGTATAGAATCAACATGAGACACTGCCCAATGTCAGAAGACATGCTGGTGTAATGCAGCATTCAGTACTGAGATATTTCAAGAGAGAATGGGGTTGTGGTGAGACGGCAAAATTGGATGGCAAGCCGTGGCCTTACAATTGGCTGTAATTTCATCATACACACTGATTTTCACCAAATTAAACACAACAGATGTTACAGTCTCTCAAAGAAATGTTTGCAAATTGTTGGTAATTAAAGTCTTAATTTTGCTTTAGGGCCCCTTGCATGCATTCATGTTTTAAATAACTTCTACAAGAAAAGGTCATAATATGTCAGTATGACTTTCTTGTTTAGTCCTTGTAGCTGTGTTGAGTGTTAACTTGACAAGGTTTGTACACTCTGTGAGCCCCTAGCTGCCTTTTTTACACAACAAGCCATCAACAAGCTATCCTATCCAATCCTGATATCCTTTAAATAAAGTTATTGTCCCATAAATAAATCTGAGATACTCACTCAAAAACTGAACCACAATTAGCCACCTCCTCTACATAGATGACATAAAACTGTATATCAAGACCGAGCGAGACATTGACTCACTGATCCAAACCACCAGGATCTACAGCATTGATATTGGAATGTCATCTGGACTTGAGAAGTGTGGTCAAATGTTGACAAAGTAAGAGAAGATAATAGATACAGGAGGGGTCTCACTCCCAGAAGGAAAAAAGTCAGACCTTGAGGACAGCTACAAATTCCTTGGTGTCCAGCAAGCAAATGGCAACCTCGATGAGGCTGCAAGGAAATAAGCCACAACCAAATACTTAAAACAAATAAGGAGAGCACTAAGAAATCAGCTCAAGGGCAAGAACAAGATCTGGGAAATAAACAGCTATGCCCTGCTAGTAATCAGATATCTGTCAGGAATAATGAGCTGGCCAAAAGGAAAAAATACAGACCACAGATGTTAAGACACAAAAGCTCCTAACCATGCATGGACCATTACACCCCAAATCCAGCACCCTGAAACGGTATGCTAGCAGTAAGGAAGGAGTCAGAGGACTAGCTAGTGTGAGACCTATGATCCAAGATAAAACAGCCAAGGTCTTTAAGTACCATCAAGGATAAGACCTCTACAGATGACATGCTCAGTGAATGTCACAGACATGGGCAAACAGAGGAGCAGGTGCTGGAAATACTATTGTGGAAAGACACCCCTACATGTGATGTACCACCGACAGGACATAGGTCAACTAAGACAAACAAAAACTGAGTTTTAGGTAGCAGTAGGTTGCGGTTTCTGAACAGAAACATTAGTAGAAATGTTAGCTTTATCTATGCACTCTTCTGAATAAAGATTTCTGAAGTTTATCCTGGAATATGCCCATCTCTCTCCAAGTTAAATGGTCACAGGCCTAAGTGCTCGATTAACCAATGGTACTTCTGAGGCCTTGACTCCCCCAAAAAACCTCTATTTCCTCTTTGATTCCTTGATATTTTGAATGTTATATATAAATGTGTATACTGGTCTCATAATGTTTAAATGTCTCCTTAAACCATGAAACAGTCAGAATTGTATATTTTTGTAAACAGACCTCATAAACCCTAATTGTCTCCATAAACCACCAGGTTGTCAAGTCCTCATAAGCCTGTGTAAATTCATATGTGAAATGTATGTATGTTCTGATATGTTTTTCTTAATTTTGAAGTGAGACTTTTCTTCTATGGGTAAAATCAAAATTTTTGACATACTTTTCGTGTTCACCAGATGCAGGGAAAGGTGTGTCCTCATAAACCACCAAAATGTCATAGTGGCTTCATAAACCATATCTACATGTATGTGTGTGTGTGTGTGTGTGTGTGTGTGTGTGTGTGTGTGTGTGAAGAATTGACTGGAGTCCGAAGGGTGTGTACGGAGAGGGAAAGAGACAGGGAAGTTGCTGGGTTAAGGATAAATTTGGAAGGTTAGGTCTATGGACGCGTGTACGCGTCTTTTGAACAGGTCTGATTTGGGACATTGTAGCAGCAAAACTCCGCCTCCCTGAGTTTCAGTTTCAATTCAGCTTCAAAAATGTTTTGAGTGATTTAAGGTCTAATATGCAGCCGTGCATGATTCCGCATCGATGCAGCAATGTGACATAATGAGATTTTCTCCCTATGTCTATGTCGGGGGTCGGCAACCCGCGGCTCTGGAGCCGCATGCGGCTCTTCCATCCATCTGATGCGGCTCTCTGTGCTTGTAAAATAATGAATGGATATTTAAATAAAATGCTTTATATTTTACTGCATTAATTTTACATCTGTAAGCCAATTCTAAATGTAAAGATTGTCTGCGTAAACCTGAACAGGCCCAACCCGGTCTTACTGTGAGACCGTGTTGACGCGTAATGCTTGTGCGTAATCATAGGTGCTTCCTGAGCTGACGAGGATGTGAGATTCTGGGATTCTCCTCAGAC